GATGTTTGTTATTTTTCTACCTATCAGTGCCACCACTCAGGCTCCAAAAGAATATTTGTATTCTAAATAGAAGTCATGTCCTATGTTTCTCTCCTAAATTTCAGCTGCTATTTAAGTATAAAAAGCACTTAATAATAATAATAATAATAATAATAATGCTTGTCTTTTATGTTATTTTATGTGAAATGTGACACATTCCTTCAACTTTCAGATTTGTACATGATAAAAAATTATACTCTTTTAGACATTTAGACACACAAAGCTATTTGAATTGCATATTGAAATTTCACTTATGTTAGTGACATGGCAGGTGACCTTTTGTTTCAGAAAAGTTCTCTTGACTATTAAGATACCGTTTGATTTAACATTGAACATGATCATAGGACAACAACCCATCTTCTGTTTTGTAATTTTTATCTGTGCTAGTTGGTGAAACAACTGCTGGTAAGGCATCCCGTAGCCTGGCCCAGCATATCCCTGGCACGGGCAGCATGGAGGGCATGAAGGTAGCAGCGTCGGGGGTTGTGGGAGATCTGGCCCGCGCACGGATAGCTCTGGAAGAGAGAGGGCAGAAACTGGGCGAGCTGGATGAGAGAACAGCGGCCATGATGGCCAGTGCAGAGTCCTTCTCCAAACATGCCCATGATGTAAGCCCCTGATATTTCTTTGAGCTGCTAAATCACTGTTTTCAGTTTAATTCCTTATTTCTGTCTCTTTTTTTCATTTTTATGCCCTCAGATGATGCTGAAGTACAAAGATAAGAAGTGGTACCAGCTCTGATGGCAGTGTGTGGAGCATCAGACTCTGTAATCATGCACACCAGTATCTCTGAGGAGCTACAGGTCCCTCTCCTTCTCTTCTCTGTTTCTCTCCATGGGGGGGGCGGTTCTGCTCCACGGAGTCGTGCTTTTATTCTCAGCACAATATCATACACTCTGCATTACTTCAGTCATCAGAGGACTGCTGCGGAGTAGACACTGGCCAACCCAATGTAATGAGAATGGAAATCAATGGAAGAAGAGAAGCTCTTAGGTGTCTCTGTTTCCATTTCACTTGACAGGGATGTTGTTCATTTAACAGTGCTCAGAGGGGACCTTTCATATCCATCAGTCATGCACATATATATATATATATATAGCATATATACACACACACACACATATATACACATCCTGCTGTTTTGTTCCAGAAGAAGAAAGACATTTCTGCAAAACATGTACTTTCAGTGGCCTGATTGCAGTTGTTCGTTTTTCCTTTCTCTGCCCCATATGGTGTCTGCCAAACACAGTGGACTTGAATGAGGAGAAAAGTCTGATGACCCCTTGTCCTTCAAATCTAATCATGTCAGTGGAGATATACGTTTTGATAGGAATGAATGAATCAGTGAAGGACTTTTTTTGGTTTAATTTATTTTTACAGTTTGACCTCTTGTCTTTTTTTTTGGTCGAGAAAGAGCCTTTGAAGCACTTTGAACAGTAAAAACAAAGGGCAGGGAGATGATGAATCTATTGCCTCTCAGTGAATAAGGGCTGGTAGTACACTAACTAGTTCATCACCAACCATTCATTTTCCAACCAACTTGTTTTAGGTGAGAAAAACAAATGACATGTTTTCTGAGTGTCATATTTTAAATTAGATTATAAATGTTTACCCATGGTGAAGAGTTTACATTATCAGAAAAATGAGGAGTTGATACACTGGAAAACCCCTGTAGGTCTAATATTCTTCTAGTTTTCAAGGGGCTGCAGCTAATTCACATATGAGAATGATGATGTGTTAAAGGATAAAAACAAGATTGTCCTTAATATAATTACCATAAATGTATATTTTGGTTACAATTAAAAGCCTGATGAAGATTCTGTGATATATGATTTTTCAAATGTCTTTTTAGCATTCAGTCATCGCTGAAGCTGATTTTTGTCTTGTTTCTCAGTGTGTAGGGGGAAAAGCATGCTGCCTTTACTGTCTTTGTATTTGTAGCTGCCAGGAGAAATGACCAAGCACCACAGTCTGTTCCACACAGTGCCATTGGCCATCTTAATCTGAACCTTTCACTTAAAAACAGTTTCTTTTCTGCGTTTGCCTCATGATGCATATATGCTAACTTCTACGAATGTGTTTATTTTTGGGTTCGTGAACATACATATATTCAGGAATATATGGCACCAATATTTATAATTCTCCATTGATACAGTGTGTTACAATAGGTCTTCTGAGGTTTTTATTTTTGCTTGCAAGTGTTTTTCAGTGTGGTTTATTAGAATTCTCTTGAGCTTTGATTTCTTCTTCATGATCTGAAAACAAATGCTGCTGTCTGTGTCTGTATCAGTGTAGGATCATTATCTATTGGCCTTTTATTTTGAAAAGAGAGACGGGACATTGTCAGTCCAGGTTGCTGCCAAATGTTGTAAATAAATAGCAGGATAGCTGGATGCAAATCTGACAGTGTAGGTTCAGGTAACATGACATATTGTATGCTGGCAGCCATGTTATTTTTCGATGCCAAAGAGTTAATTTCACAGAGTTGTCTTGATTTTCCCATAAGAGTCTAGATACCTTGGACAGAACTCTTAAGTTAGGTGGTCTACAGTATGTGGAGGTGAAATAGATTGGGGTTAGTTTCTTCTTATGGCCACGACTCCCTCATTACTGTCCCAAATGGTTGTATGTATATTCAAAAGACAGGCAAAGTGAATTTGAAGAGTTTCATTCCAAAATGAGATGTACACAAAAGAAAATCATGTAACACTGACTTATGGAAAATGATTACAGGCATTAAGGAAAAGAAACTGTTAGGAGTGCTGAGACTTTTTTGTATGTTTAGAGTTTGGAGTGTATTAAATCACATATACTTATGAGATGAGTTATCAATTACACCAAAAACGTTTTATCCAAGATGTATGCACAGCACTTTGGATTAAAACCGTTCACTTTTGGCTGCCTGATTTTAATCTGCTATATACTATTGAGATAGGCCCATTTAAAAGAGCAATTGTGTGGATTTTGCACTATTTTTTGTACTTAAGATATTTTTGTTAGTATGATTTTTGTTTATTCTTTCATGTCCCATTTTCTTGTTTTTGACAGGACCAAAACATGAACATGCATATCCATGTCATTTGCCAGTTATTCTGACTGATTCACTCTCAGATTTGTTTTCAATGTCAGGTTAAATATACTATGATATATTTATATATTTGAAAACAAATATCTATACACTTTTAATTTCATTAATCTATTTAAAATGAAAACCTTTAATGTAATTTTTGGATAGAATAACTCTCATTAATGTTCAAACATTGTTTGTGCATAATTATCCATCATCCACACATGACGATAAACATTTCTGGTTATAATACACATGCTCCTCTCAGATTCAGACTTTGTTGCAGCAGGAGGGTCATCTCCTCTTGGTGGGCCCCAGAGTCTTTCTACAGAGTGTGGCCTCAACTTTAACGTGCTTCAGTTTGCAACATATATGTCCTAAAGGATCTCTTATTGCACATTGAAGGATGCATGATATTAAATGTTTACAAACTTGAAGCAACCATGTATTATTCCTCTTAGAGATTGTCTGTTCTGGCTTTTGTGTTTATCACAGTGTTGAACAAAACTGAAGTTGTCATTGCACATCAGAGGTGTGTCCCATTTTTATTTGATCATGCCAGTTGTACAGGTGTGAGAGACTATTTTTATTTTATCGATAAATATGTTTGCTTAATGAAAAATTTTACTTTCCCTAAACTGTAAAAAATGCATTGACATCAAAGCTAGCTTCACAGCACCATGCAGGAGAGGGTGTCATAGTCGCCATACTTCCATCCATCTGTCTTCTAGGATGAATACCTGTGGAGTTGCAGTATTTTCTCATAGTAGGCAATTTTTGTACAGTTTTATTAAAATAAATTTCACATGGATGTCTGACTTAATCTGCTGCCACAAACAATTTAGACTGTAGATACAGTATATATAGATATTATTGTGCAATGGAAAATAAATGTAAAAACAATCATAACGTTTTGTCTTGTGTTTTGTATTTCTTGTTTTCTTGTTTGCTCATGTGACGTCATTTAAAACAAATGTTTTCCTTATAGAAATTCAACTTATCTGTCCTTTGATCAGAGGTCAGCTATTGATTACAGTGTCCTGCTTTGGAGCAGCATTGCCCTGATCATCCTAAAGAACAGCCCGGTGCATCCTTGATTTTTTTGTAGTTTATGCAAATAAATAAACTAAATTAAACCAAAAAATAAAAAATAAAGGAAGAGACAGTGTGAACAAAGTGGTACTTTTTTGTTTTGTGTTCATTATTTTTGCAGATAAGCTTCAATGAATACAAATCCTTTGTTTCATGTAAGTGTTCATTGTACAGTATATTTTTAGATAATTTATATGTTGACCTTTAAAATATATTGCTACTGAGGTCATGTACATTATTTTATCTTGTATTACAGCTTGCAGCATTATGTCATTTATAAGTACTTTAGAGATGCATCTATACACTGACATACCAGAAGCTGCAAGGAGCTATAGATGGGTGACAAAGGAAAAACCATCAAAAGTGAGCAACCTATGCTTTTCTGTAGTGTCTCCAGAACAGCTTCAGTGTTCCTCTGTTAGAGAGAGGATACATGTTGCAAAACATATTTCTTCATTGTGTATAACACACTTTTTCATAGTCATTAAGCCATTCAGTAACCTTGAGCTACAACCATTAGTCAATTCACTGATAGAAGCAAAAATCACCAACATTTTCTGGCTACACCTTCTATAATGTGAAGAAATTATGCTTTTATTTGTCATACATTATAATAAACCTGGGATTTTTACTCTTGTTCAATTGGTCTATTTATTTCTAAAATCAACAGAACATAATGTTAACCTGTTTCAAAAATGCAAACATGTCATGTTGGTAAGTGTAATGATATTTACTTTGATTTATTTACGAATCCTACATTTCCCAGAATCCCCTGCAGGTGGCGCCAGTGCTCGCAGAACTCCCGTCGTGCAGCGGGGGAAAAATAGAGCTGAGCAGCATCCTCACATTGACAGAGCCAGCGATGGAAAGATAGTGAAGTTTGTACAGTACAAGCTAGTCACAAAGTAAGCTCCAACAAGTGCACGCTTTGAATGTATAGAGAACGTTTTCGGTTTTGTTTTCTACAAGCAGTCTTACGGTAGTTAAGTATTGCTCTGGCTTTAGCGTGAACCTTTTAATTCTTGCTCCGGGCGAATGTTTGATGAACCTGGCGTCTTGCTCTAACCGTTGCGGTGAATGAAACAAAGAGGATGGATGCATCATGTGAGGACGCCAAACTCGTAACGGTTCTGTGATTTCCCCGTTTTTTTTGTAAAGGAGAACCTGACTGAAATGTGGTCAAGTCGGCTTTTCTCACCAGGTAGCGTCAACTTAACGATTCCATCGACGACCTAAAGCAGCTAACGTTGAAATAATGTTAGTTTCATACACGCTCATTTTCAACGTGAGTTTATCGGTTAAAGTTGAGTTCGCTTGTTGGACTGTTTTGTCTTAAACACTTATAGGTTCTTCATGTATGAGTTTTACCTTTAATATACACGTCTCCATGAGATGTCAAAGGCCATCAACAAGAGCCTGACACCGTCTAAACTGTTTTTGCTCAGGGAAGCTGCTTCAGCTAGGGTTGGTCAGATTTAAAGGGCTTCTGAAAGTTAAAGGTACTTCAGAACAGTAACCCATATTATTGTCTCTTAACATGTATTTGCTCTTTTTTTTTTGTTTTGGAATATTGAACCTGGTGCTGTGTGCAAAGCGGGAGTCCTATGGAGCAAAGTGCTGGATTCCCTCAACAAAAACTCCAGCAGCAGCAGCCGATGTGTGGATGGCGATGACAGTGTGCACGTAAAATAAGCCTTACTTTATTCTGTCATAAGATGAGCCAAGGGCCAAATCTTGTCCTGGAGTGGCTATCCAAGCTCCATCTGGCCCAGTATGTGGAGTCATTCATCGACAACGGGTATGACGATTTGGAAATTTGTAAACAGATTGGAGAACCAGACCTCGATGCCATAGGCATCCATACTCAGTACCACAGACACAGGCTGCTCACAGCTGTGCAGAGACTGAAAGAGGAGGATAAAAGGAAAGTGCCTGGTTACTATTTCACCTTAGAGCCTCTGGTTGCTTCTGCTTGCCAACAGACTACAAACCGAGAGTATGTTGGGACACTGAGGTCACACACATGGACCACAGGGATGCACCAGGCCTCCTCTCCTGGAAACCACAACCTGAGATGCACAGATTGTAATGATTTTGTGACCTATCCCAAACTGAAGCTCAAGGTACTGATAAGGGATAAACTTGCAAAAGATGGAATTAACCTGGGAGAAGCACCTTACACCCATAAGGTAGGCTGGTTTTACTTCTTTTTACAATACAATGATACTAAATGGTGGATCTACAAGTGCTGTCTCGTGAAATTTAATACACATACTTTGTTATGTATGTGATGAAAAGTGTGTCAAATTTATTTGATGGTGCCAAGTGATTCTTCCTTAGTGTACCAAGGATACTCTGGTTTCTCTGCCAAAAGTCTTCTGAGATTCAATGAAGTGTTGTCAGATTTCACTTTCTCTTAATTTACTCAAAACAGTTTGATTAGTGACTAAGTTTATTTTAATTGAGCAAGTGAGTCCTGGATGAAACTGCCCTTTTCTTTAGAGTTAACATATAACCAAAGACTAAGAGTTAAAAACCCTATGGCCTTTCCACACAGATGTCAGTGGGGTGATGGATTACTCTGGTCGATACATTGCTGACAGCATGGCATTTTATTTCTGAGGATCTTCTCTATTCTGACAATTGTCCAGACTGTGCTGACTGCAGAGACTTTTAGTTAATGTAATTGCAGGGAGTAGATTTTCAGATTTGGCATTGACCAGATCCGTTCAGTCCTTAATACATTCAGCAAGTAGACTGAGGTGGAAAAAAACAAACTGAGGGGATAAATCTGGCTTATTTTCAGCGATACATGTATGTCACTATCACTGGAGGGCATGATATTTGTATTCTGGATTTGATTATTAGACAATAGTTGGTAAACTGGTGATATGAATCTGTTTCCGGTGTAGTGTAACAGACTGGATTCCTTCTAAGCAGCACTGTTGGACACTGCCCTCGAATATCTTTACACTTTCAGACCTAAGGCACAGTTTCTGTTCTCAGCAGTGGCACTTAGCCAAGACAGAACTTGTTCTTTTAATGCACATCCTTACTTACCTTGGTTTTGTCTTTGATCAGCAGATTCAAGTTTAATACACTACTCATCAATAATGAATGAATGTGATCTGAGGGACTGATGAGCAGTTTGAACTGATTTTTGTGTCACAACAAATCATAGAACATACTGAGCCTGTTTTGCTTGAGTGCCTTTACACAGTCATTGTTATTGTGCAGTCTTATATAAGACTTAGCCGTATTGAAAATTGTGCAGTGTTTGTTTTATTCTCATTTATTCTAATGACGACAGTCTAATTGGAAAAAATTTTGTTACCACTCTGAAGTGTCATAACCTTTAAAACAGTTGCACTGTTGCTAAAGTACAGTATCATTCTGGGCAGTTTTACAGCTACAAGCATCTACTGTTCATGAAAGATTCAGAGGCTGGGAACTGCTAAGTGCAAAGGTACTTTGTGATTCACTTCCAAACATTTTTCTAGGTTACAGGCAATATTGGCACAGTTAGATTCGTCCAAAAAAATGTCTTTAATTCATTCGACTTAAAAGCACCACCAACTCTCGAGTCAGCACAGCCATACTAAGGGTCCAGTTCATTCACGGGGCAGACATATGACAGTAGCTACACTCATTCTCTACTAGTTAGTTGATGTAATATCTACAAAGTACAACAGACCATCACTAACAAATGATTTACGTTTGGCTTTGGTTCTCCAGCCTTACACTGTGTGGTTAACATTTGGAGTGTTTTGTCATCCTACTACAGCTCTGTAGGAAATAGGCCAGTCTTTTATTGGCTCATTTATTTAGGACCATTTGAGTTTTCTCACTACTTACATTTTGAAGATATGCACGGTCATTTTATTAATTTGCAGCTTGAATATTGAGTACCAGCTATAAGCGAAGAGCTGATTTAAAGCAGGTCAGACTGGTTGGCGCTGTGTGATAACAGTTTGGCCTTCAGGTTCATCAGATTTAGTCCAGTTGCAGAATTGGGTATATAGGCCAGCATGGCCCATTTTCTCACCAAGAATAGCATACAGCAGCTTCAGGCTAAGTCTGGCTTTACCAGCAATATTCAACTTACTTGCTGAAATTTGTGCAGAATTTGACCAAATATCAGTATAATATTAAAAATCAAGGTGATTTGTGATTAAAGATTGGATAATTCACAATACAATTTATTGTTGTCCTTTCTATTGTTGTCTCCAAAAATAATGTAAAGTGATATCATCGTGTCACTGTAAGGAAAATGCATGTGGAGATTTATTTGAAAGTGTAGCATAGTACTGTAGCATTAAAACAAATCCATCTACACATATTTCAAGCAAGTGTCTTCTGTGCTGCAGCCTCTCTCCTTATGACCTTAAACATAAAAGTCTTGAAATTTGGTTGTAAACTTAAGCAAGAGCCCATTCAGATGATTAACACTCTTTTTAAATGTGCATGAAATGATTAGTTTTGTCATTTGCCAACAAAGCATACATCACATTGCTGATCTCATCCGGACCCTGTTGGGAGGATTCCCTTTATAGCTGGCTTTACTTCCCTGTGTCACTTTGCCAGAGGACAGGAGGACAAGCAAAACCAGCAGGCCCCTTTTGACAGAAGAGAAGCCAGGCTGAATAGAGCCTGGCAAAATACAAAGCTCTGCAGCAGCTGACAGCTGTCTCTGCTTTTGTCTCTGTAAAATGGAGACTGAATAGGATGGTTTCTGTTTGAGCAAAGTTGGTTTTTAAAACACCAGGACCAGTTTAGCTATGAGGACCAGTACAACATAATGTTTATATAAATAAAGGAGAGAAGGAGTTTGTAGCTTTAATGGTTGATAACATCTATCACTTATTTCTATGTTTACCTCAGTGTTTATTGTGTATCATTTCTTCATATTGTAGACAAACACCAGTTTATGTTTTTAGTATCGGAAAAACTACAGTTCCTGTGATTGCGTCAGAACACGTCGGCACACACTGTTATTTACTAGACTCTTCTGGACTTCGGCGGTCCAAGTAGCACAAGGCTAACTGTGCTTCTGATATTGGTCTCACCTCTCCCAGCTTTTTAAGTTGTAAAAAAACACAAGAAGATGTGTAATAGATACAGCATCTCTCGACTATAGGCCTCAGTTCAGTTCTCCTGCCAGTCAGCTGGCTGGATTTTTAGTTATTCTGGATTTTTAGCTATTCTGGATTTTTAGTTATTAGCCAAATTAAAAATCTCAGTGGGATTTTGAGTGGGGTTTTCTTTCTTCTGGAAATTCTGGTTTCAGTTCTGCTCTCTATACCTCTGTCTAGTTAACATTCATTTCAATTGTCCTGCTGCCATCATGTTGACTTTAAGTGAAAAATGATTTAGAAGAGCATCTGAGAAACCAAGAGAAGCGTATGTACTTAGTCTGTACTCACTAACGTACCATTCACATGCTTATTTAAGATGATATGTAAGCTCAGGAAGCAGGGTTTTTTTCTTTTGAGAGAAAAGTATTTTGTGTAAGTATTTCCCTTAAGCACCGTAGCTATTGAAACACATCTCGGTTTCCAGCCGTTACCTCTGTGTTGCTTCAGCTAAACAATACTAAGTAGGTCTTTGAAACTATGTGGTGCTCTCTGAATTTAAATCACTGCACAGTAGAGAAAGCCTCTTTTGGTTTGTGGCAGACGCACGCAAGAGGCAGTTGAATTGACAGAGGAAGTTTTATTTCTATCAACAAACAAAAACAGATTAATCACTTCACTTGATAAATGTACAGCAATGCCTTGGACCTGATGGGGATTTGTCTGCATAAAGATGTTTTTGAGTGCGCCAGCCCTTCTGGTGGTGTGTCATCCCCCGGCCCTTGGAGATCTCTGAGCTACACACTATAGTGATCTTGATCATGTTCCTTTACAGCCATTTTCCATGCTGAGCTATTTTTAATGCATGTTCAAAATGGGCCATTCATTCAAATAGAAGTGTATAGATAAGTTTTCAAGATACTCTCATGTTTCTTTTTATGAACAAAAGTACAATGGATGAACAAATTAAAGGACATTTTGCTCGCTTGTCTTATGCTAGATTTACCTGTGAGACACTTGTTGTACCCGGTACTTTTTACCATACTGACTCTGAGAGACGAGACAGTCCAAGTAACTACAAAAGCGTGCTGATTTATTTCATGAACACAGGTAAAAATTAACATTACATGCTCAGGCATCTTGCACCTCCAAACTGTACGCAGGCAGATGAAAGATGAAAGACCCCCGAACCCAACAGGCCTGTACATTATATTTGGTTTGGGCTAACCCCATTCTACACAGGCACGTCAAACCGTGACGTCACCTGATATGCCAGCTTTACAGCTGACCGTAGCAGTAGTCAAAACATGGAGAAAATCAATGTGTGTGAGTGTTGATTAAGTGGTGTGTATCTAAGAACATACAGGACATTCAGGGACATGTCCGGACATTAAGCCTAGGAAGATATTATGATTAAGATTACGGCTAAACATATCATACAGTAGCCACTTTCTATCTAGTTATCCTGGAACATAAACAACCTGGAGTAACTCATGAAAATGAGTAAGCATTTAACAGCCTACCTAGACATCCTGTCTACACTAAAGACATTTCTAATACAACAAGTACCTAACCAACATCTATCTGACTAAAAAATACCTAACACACTGAATGTCAATATTTAAATTCAGTTTTAATTTATTATTATTTTTATTCCTGTTGTACCCGGTACTTTTTACCATACTGACTCTGAGAGACGAGACAGTCCAAGTAACTAC